CGCCTACTAATAAAATCAAATGATTAAAATTCAATGTTTATTTATCTAGTTTTCTGCTATTCTTTGGAATTATCGTGTTTACCATAGTTAACCTGTGCATATAACTTAATGCAAACCATACAAATCACATCCAGATGCTGGACCAAGCAACCATTTCTTCATTATTTACTATTATTTACCCAACCAGCACAAAATAATATCAAAATCTCATCGGTTATACGTTACTCTAGTGAATGAGACCCGTAGGCTTGATTAAGAAATACGACGAAGGAAGAGCAAGTAATTCATTTTAACAACAGATTTTACTAGCAATTCTAAAGTCCCTTAGTTTACCTCACAGCTCATGCAATGCGCATGGCTTACACATAAACTATTAGATGTACACGCGACAAATTCTTGTCTCAAAGTCTCCAGACTTACATTATGCTCGTCTTTCTTTAACAGGCCATCTAGAGGCTCTCATCTAGTGCTGTAAGAGAATGCAGGTAGTGCAAAACAATCTGTAAGCCTAGATCTAATTTTATTGTTAAGCTAGGTCGACAAACAAGGGCAGAAAACCGACAAAAGAGGGGTTAGTGCGCAAATAAAGTTACCACTCCATGTTCAAATTTTATTCTCAAACAGCGTGTATGGTCAAATGAGTCTAAATGACATAAATGTCTTATTGTGCGCACTAAATTGGACATATGCATCTGAAAACTGCCCTGCTTCCCGCATTAATTGAAACTTTAAATGACACAAAACACCATTGCGAGTATGTTTTGTAACCATTTATTCAGCATTATCATATTAGAATCAGATATATAATATGCGACTCCGAAAAATAAGCAAATAAGTAGATGAATAGTTGATAACTCCGATGTTTACAAAATAAAAATAATCGAGTTACTTTTGATAACATAACGAATAATACTGTATAAAGGATAACATACAAAAGAAAATATTCTTTTTAAGAATACATTATATAAAGATTTAGGGTAGTCACGAAACTATTTATATACGAAAGATAATTAACGTAGTCTATTGTTATAGCATAAATACGCTTGCTTCATCGATAATCCTACCAAAGAATGTGATATGGTAAAAGGCCTGGCCCTGCAAACCAAAGGCTTTCGTGGTAATGTGAGCGAGTGGTTAACGTGTCAAACTCACATTCTGCACTGTCATGGTTCGACTCCTGCTGGGGGTGCTGATAAGACCTGTGCGAGGTCGAAACTGTAGTCCACCCTTGATGAAAACAACTTTTATGAAAGCAAGGCTATGTGAAATTCAATGGAAACGACAGCTTAACTCATATCATAGTGGGAAAATTCTACTACCAGTCCTTCATCACCTTAAACGAAATAGGGTGAATACATGTTATATTACTGATTTACTGATAGTCTCAAAAATCAATTTACATATAAAATATAATTTTTTCTAAATTCTTCTATTTTTACAGCTTAACTTGACTACTCGTAAATAAACAACATACGTAAACCCATTAAAATTGGTTTAACAATAGAATAAAAATTCCCACCAAATAGTTTTAACAAGATTTAAAATGAATTTGGGGGAAAGTAAAAGCGAACAAACAATTTTCCTCACTTTTAATAAAGTAAATTTCCGACTGAGTCACTTAGATTTTCTAGATTTATTGGAATTTGTCATAGCAATAAAAATATCGTTTAAAATTTACGGTTGATAGAAATATTACTGCAAAATTTTCTTAGGCCTATTTTATTTGTTGATAGATTGTTTTGACTTAACCTGTAGTTAATTGTCGTCAATTAGACAACTTTAATCGTTTCATAGGTTAAGCTTCATCGGATTTCTTAAAAGATTTATATAGTTCGTTCACCTTAGTTTATTTCTTCAAACCTCTAAAATTAATTTTACATCAAACCGTAGTTTAAAAGGAATATTGGTTAAAATGATCCGATAATAATGAGCTACTAATGTTAGCCAAACTCTACAATATGTGATTTCACCAAATTACCATTAATAGGTATGATATCTTCAATGTTCCTTGAGATGTTCCAGGAAATGGGGCGCTTTTGAGCCAATTGTAATGATTGGTAGTGCCTTACTTTTCTTCTGTGACGGGATTTTGGAAGGGGGATGAATGGGTCATCGATGTGTAGGGATGAGATAGTGCTTGTGCCCGAGAGGTATCTATTTTGTGGAGATTGAAATTTATCAGATAAGGATAAAGCTGCCTGCAAACTTGGAACTGATCGACTTATGCAAGTTGAATCAGCTAATCCATTTTTGTAATTTGTATGCCCTGGAGATGCAGGGCCCTGAAGTTCCGTCAATCGGCGAATAAGAACGTCTCCAATTTCAACGCTTCGCTCGTTCTCGGTGTTTACTGTACTATCGTGACTGCTCATTGTGATGCTGGGCATATCGTCGTCTTCATCCTCACTGTTGTCATCCAAGTCGTCTATTGGGAAGCTCGAAGACGGTGAAAATGAATACAGATTAGTATTCGTCAAGCCAATGGGGTATGGTTCAGTCAGCAAAGTGTCTATATTTTTATGATCCAAAGATGATGAATCTATCAAACTTGCTGCAATCTGCGGTGCGGGGGCTTTTGAATCAAAAACGGCTTTCTTTTTTGTTGTTTTGGTTGTGGCCGATTTGTCTAGTCCAGCATTATCACTCTTAGGTACAGGAGCTCCTAATTGAATAGGCTTTTGAGAAGGTTGTAATGCTTCGATTCGGCCACCCGTGAGAGATGAAGTTGGTCCATAGATGTCTTTCTCATTAAAAATCATACCATTGGCCGAAAGCAGATCACAAGCCAGTTTAGGAGCAGCTAACTTTAGGTTGATTGGTTTCGTAGAATAGGGAGCTTTTGAAATAGCTGTGAATGCCTCTGAAGGAGCGACCCGATTTTCACTAATGTGTGGGATTCTATCAGTATTAGGTCCTGTAAGACTGATTTCGTGAGAACTTGGCTTACTTTGGCCATTTGTCAGCTTGCAAGCCAATTCCGGTGCGGGTGATGACATTTTTTGTTTTGGGTGTTTGCTATCACTATGAAAGGAGTTTACACCAGGCAGCTGGCCGGTCGATGTATCGAAATTTGGGTCCTTTTTAGCAGTTCTGTTGGGCACCTTTTGGTCATGATCACTACTTCGATGACCAGGTAAGCTGGATGTCGGAGATGTTGCTGCTAATGGATGGAATAATACCTGATCTGGGGCAAGTTGTGGCTCTGAGAGGCCGGTTAATGTCTCGTTTTCCTGGCTTAATTCCAATCCTTCCAGGTGACCTGGATCTTTGTTTTTCAGCTGACAAGCTACTTCCGGTGCCGATGCTTTAAGATTGAGCTTTTTTCCCTTCGAGATCGGACTTGGATCTGTTATGGCATGAGCAACTGGTATGCTCAAATTAGCAGTCTCTATTTGTTGTGATTCTAATTCGGATTCTGACAGACTTGTGAGAGTGGGATCGTTGATCACCTGACTCAGCTCAATAGGTTCAAGAAGAGCGCATGCAAGTTGTGGAGCTGGAGTGGTGAAATTGACGGGTTTTTGATGATCAGATGTAGACAAGCCATGTGGTGTCAAGGTCTGGCTGGATAGCTCGGCATCCATTAATGAATGTTGTCTTTCCTGACGAACTTGTTTTGCTTCTTCCATAGAATGCAGATCAAGTCGAGTCAAAGAGCTGTCATATTGGGGATGCGTAGAGTAGTCACCCTGGTTTAAAGCATGCATTGCTATCTCTGGAGCCGGTAGCTTAAGGACACTAGTTGGCAGACGATTGATTCCATGATGAGTAGCAGCATTGTCTCCAGTGAATAAAGGGGCAAAATTGATGGCTTTACTCCCAACTTGTGGGATACTTACTTCCGGTTTGAACTGACCTGAAAACTCATCTCTCTGAAGATCTGCATCTAGTGAATAGCGACTTGCGTTTAAGTCGAGCTCCTCCTTTGCAGATTGCTCAAAGTTATATCTAGTACCGAGGTTTAGGCCCGGTCGACTGGTTATAGGATGTGGCAATGTAGCAGATTTTGAGGAGTCCCCAAAGATTGCCTTAGCTTCAGCTATATCAGATGAATAAATTATGTAAAATTAGCATAGTGTTAAAAATAAGCGTGGATAGTAAATTAAGCTAAAGAATTTGTACCATTTTCAAAATTCACGGTTTTCAAATAATTTTATTAGTAAATAATAGCTGATAGGTAGATCTGAACGGCATAAATTTGATATGAGAAAATGGATCATTCGAAGAGGGAAGGAATGTTCTTTTTCTTAAGACATACTCATAGCCAACCAATCAAATCAATAGAGGGAAGAAAGAACTTTATTCAATTTGATATGAATAAAGGCCACGACAAACAAGTGCCAGTTAATATTACATATCTCAAAAATGGCACTCTTTTGAAGACAAGTGGTTGTGAAACCAACTGGACAAAGCTTAACAAATTTTTAATGTGAGTGGCTTTCGAGACTATTAGTAATTTTTGAAAGAAAATTAGTAACTACAGGACACTTAACGTGATTTAAGTAGTAATATTAACTTGTGAAAATTATTTGGGAATAGATGAGCTATCAAGAGTTTATATATCAACAATTTATGACAAAATTTGTCCCAATATAAATGCGACCCCTTATTTATTCATTAGGCCTTAATACTATTTTATTCTATAGATATATGAAGTATCTTTCTCACATCTTTCTTTTTGCATTTGATACTGCATACAATATATATGTCTGTTAAGCTTACATAACATTAAATAATTTAAGAGCTTGAACCAATCAAATGGCTCACATGTTACTTTAGCTTTTACTTGAATGTCGTAGTTAGGTCTTTCCTAGCGAAGATACAGACATAAAATTATTATTGGCTTAACCTGACAATAAGTCTCCTCTCAGAGTGTAAAAGGGTAAGAGAAGGATGCATCGCCACTGATTGTGAGATTAAGTCTTATGAAAATTTAAATTCGCTATCAGATTAGCCTCACACGCTGAACTAATGTGAAAGGTAACCAACTGAGATTTACTTGGGGAAGTCTTCTTCCCATCACATTGAAAACTATATCCACCTAAGATACAAATATAGAAAATTACTTTCACTATGGTTAGAGGGACCTGCATTTCGTATTC